TTGCAATAACTTTTTTGTTTATTAACCGATTTTAATTTAACAAGCCTCAATTTGTAGATAATTTTACTCCCTACAAGCTGTCTGTGAGTCACTTTTCGCTAAAATTGATGGTTTTCCCTGCAAAGTGAAAAAACTGTTTTCCTCACTTATTTGTTTAAATAGAAAAGTTGGCTAATAAAAGTTTTTGGTTCACGAGATGAGAAATGTCTTGTAGTATGTTCCTTTAGACAATTTTACAATAATCTCGCGGATAGGACTTTTTTCGAGTTTCTCTTATTTTCGCTAATTTTCCTGGTGTAGAACGAGACTTTTCAGTTTGTTGTATCACCTTTTCCCGTAGACGCTCTTTCTCTCTCTCTCACACACACATACATACACATTCATACTTACACGAACAATTAAAAAAAAAATAACCCATGAAACATTTCGACTGTTGTTCACCTATCGCCTTGGTGTTGCTTTTTCAGGAGACTTTTTCAGAGTATAGGCATTTAGCTCGACACCTAACAAAAGCTTTATCAGAACCATAGCACGTTATCATCACAGCCAAAGTATAAGTGGAGTAGCTGCTACTGGGCGTTCATCATGTAAGTCTTCCATTCATATCCTAACTTTATTACTAGTATCGCTAACACATCATTAACTACTACACTGACGTTTGATTTGTTTAATATTAGATAGAGTTTGGCAGAAAATTAACAACACTGGAGATACATAGAAATGTGAGGTTAAAATAAATAGAGCCTTTCCTTTTAATTGATCTGCCTATTCCAAGTGATCCCCTAGTTGAGGCAGATCACTTAAATAGAATGCTCCTTTTGTTTCAGTGATTTGTCAAGTAAACTTTAAGTACAACAATTCTGACACCTCTTTAAAAAATAAGGCACCTGTTTTTAACTTAGATGGAAGAAATCAGGACTATAACTTGTTTGGTACAATGGAAGTGACATTAGAACTACTAGAAGTGGAAAAACTCTAGTATTATTTTCTGTCAAAGCTCTGCAAATCTATTTATAATTTCCTGCTTATTTTCGCGTGTTAAAAATGCACTTGAAACAAAAAAAAAACGTTTCTTAGGCCGTTTAGAAGCACAAGTACTCCAAACCCGCTGAGTGGGGATCGGAATGGGCTTTCGACGACTGTTGTGTATGTTACGCGAAACACAGTGTTCTATTTTTAATGTTTAGCCTTGCTATGCGCTGCACCGATTCATATTGAATTGTCGGTAAGCTCGAACGGCTAAGGACGCAGTCGAATCGATCGATTTTCAAATCTTTCCCGAAAAAAAAAACGGCCAACGTTGTCAGTTTCGTCTAGATGGTATAACTTATGTGAAAATATTTCAAGGGGTGATTTGTTGGGTCATTTAAACGTCAAAAGTTCGTATGGGCCTTAAAAGGCTTTCCACGAAACGAGGTGTTAAAATTTTTGAAAAATAAATACATTTGCACAAATATCTCTGAAGATTTTTAACGTAAACTGATGAAACTTGGATGGGTGACTCATGTAAGCAAAGGTAAAAATTCGCTGCACTTGTACACAATTATGACAACCACTGGTGGAAATACTATGAGACAGTGCTATTAAAAACCTGAGAATATCGACGCCACTGGATTGGAAATGTGCATTTCATTCCTAATTCTATTTTCAAAAAATCTCTACCATTTTATCTGAAGAACGATATTTTTTCGAATCTAATGTAAGCTAGTTGGATAAATCCAACTATTCGTTTCATAGAAAAAATGTATACGATTTTTTTTGTTAAAAAAACAATTTTAAACACGGTATGATCATCAAAAGTCTAAAAAATTATTGGTGCAGATATTTTGAATACTCTAAAGATAAACATTCTATATCTATGATCTTTTTTGGACTGTTGATGACCACAGTGTATTTAAAATTGTTTTTCTAACGAGAGGTCTACAAAACGAAAATCACTTGTTTTCTGAATAAACTGCAAAACATTATTAATTATACAGCGGACAGCAGGATACACTCAGCAAACAATTAGGTCCTAAAATTGAATGTTTTTCCTGATCATCAAATTTGACGTTTAAATTCATAGCCAAGCTTGATGGATGAAGCTTGTTTCACCCTATGAGTATTCCGATGTAAATCCTTATTCAGTAACTTGAATTTTCCACGAAGATTAATTTTATGCCTTAGAGAAAAAGGTGATCATTTTGAACAATTTCTATAACTTATCGACTCTCTAATCAAAGTTTCGTCAGTCTACCTCAAACATCTTCAGAGATTTATATAAATATATAGGGTGTCCGGAAATGATGAGTAAAAAATTCAGGGGATAATTCTAGACCGAAAATAAATCCTACCTCTTTCTATAACATTTTTTGCAAAACTGTTATTAACGGAGTTACAGGGTGTTAAAGTTAAATTTTATTTGCAGTTTTTTTGCAATACCTTTTGCCACACTCATAATATTTTGAGGAAATTTCGTATATGGGGGTTTTTCGGGATGAGGATTATAAATTTGCCCACCCTTTTTTCGCATTTTGTAGAGGGCGCCACATACGAGCCTTTATTTTGATTTGAATGGTTTCAACTTTATAGTGCTACAATTTATGCGAAATTTGACTGAATATTTTTGTTCTCCTAGTCTATTGACATAAAATACTTTATTTGTTTCGATAAATCTAACCGTTTTCGGAAAAAAAAACGCTAAAATAACATTGCTTGCATGTGACGAATACGAAATCATTTTAATTTATTTTCTACATTAAACATAGCATGCTTTGGAAACAAGCGCTTAGTTGCCTTGGAAACAAGTTTGTGGAGAATTAGTTTTTATATCGCCAATTAATTTATTATTCGAAAATAAACCGTATTGACTTTCATTTTGTCGAGCAGGAAAAAAATGAATTTCGTTTGCGCTGCATCTGTCTTGTTATCCTTTAAACGCCTACTACAAGAAAAACGTCAATTTGCTTGCCAAAATAGTTTTCGTAACGTTGGTGTCGACCGCGTCATAATTTTACAGATTTATGTAGCAGTTATTTTCTCAATGACGGGTTCTTGACATATTTCCTAAAGCAGACCTTCGTTTTTATCTGTCGCTGTGCGGTGGATTCAAATCCGGCGAATCAAGAGGCCGATTACGTTTAACAAGTCAAGGACGAGAAGTTCACACGAACGCCGCACATGGGGGGACGACAGGGGGCAAAACGTAATTTTATTCATCGACATAGTAAATATCTCGCGGCAAACAAATCGTAAACTTGTAAAAGTCGATTGTAATACCCGCGGATCATCCTCTAAAATACGTCCAGCTCCCATCGGTGCCCACGGCCGTTGACCGAGTGCCAAAATCGAACCACATAATTTTTTCGGAATCAAAACATCCAACCGTTTTTTTTTTTTTTTCATAGCTTTCGCGGTGCACATGGCACCTGCCAATAATATTCTATAATAATTCGGCCCGACGCACAGTGCGGCACATTTATTATGTTAGAACTGCGTAGCGACACGATGACGGTGCAAAAAGGGGTTTTTATTTTAATTCCGCCAGCGCGGGATCGAGGACGGTTCGAAATTTTGACAAATTTATAAAAAATATGTCTTAAATATATATGTAGTTTGATTTGAATATTATTTGGTGTCATAGTCACTAAGCGAAAAGTTAAGAAAATCGCTAATGTCTAGTGGCAAAATGTCAACGATTTGTGCACATTTTAGGTGCTAAATACAGGGTGTCCGGAAATTAATGCAACAAAATTTGGTGACGGATTCTTAAGATAAATTTGGGGACAAAAAAAGTTTCTCCATTCAATGTTTTTTAGCGAACTAATAATTTTTAAGAAATTCAAATATGCGACCAAATTTTTTTTAGTTCCAAACACAAGGGGGCTCACGAAAAAGTGACTTAAGGAGGTAAATTGGGTTTACTAAAATGCACAGATGTACTTGAAATTTATATAGCGTATTACCCAGTGCTCCCTCCGTGCGTCATATTTTTTTGAATCTAGATTTTGAGATATTGTCGTTGAAAGTTGTTCATTTTAACATAGGTTTATATGACGAAGATGGACGGTGCGGCTCTTTTTTTGCCCATAACTGAGAAAAAAATGTAGAAATTGTGAAACAAAACTTTTCCATAGGTAGTACACAGTATTATCTTATTTTTGATGTAAAACTAATGTAAGTTTTGAACATAGTACAGCAGTATTAATTAGAAACGGAAAACAATAATTGCATTTCTGACTTGAGGATTAATGTGGCAACGTCGCAATCAGCTGACAGCAAGGGGGGAATACATTTGAAAGACTTGATAAAAACAAAATTTATTTCAAATTTTTTCTTAAATCCCATGTAAACTGTTATCAACAATAAATTATCCACAACAGATTATTTTTTGTAATGTTAAAAAAAAATTAATTAATTAAAAAAGCTAGGAAGCTGTGATATATTTATTGCAATAAAATATACAGTTGATAAATCCTTTTAATAGATTTAATGGTTTATAAAAACATCGTAATCCGTACCCAGCAATATTTAGGGTTACATAAAGTTTTCTTTACTTGATTAATATAATTAGTAATACTTGAGATAAAAGCATTTGTACGGAATAACAAATGAACATAAATATTTCTCAGCAAACTTTATATCTAAAAAATTAGTTATAGTTGCAAAACTTTTGTAACATTACTAAAATAGAGATTAAAACACGAACAGTGAGTAATAGTGTAATTTCTATCACAGAACCTTCAAAATCGCATCCAACATTTTCTTTGACTTGGACGAGAGATGGGCGCGAATGTCATTTCATTTCTATAGCACTAAATTAACATAATTCTCGTTGTTTTGTCAGTTCACATGATTTACGGATTTTAAATAAAGGATACAAATCTTCGCGAGGATAATTCGATATATTTGCTATATAGAATAATTATATTGTACATAGTTTACACACAATACATTTTTGAACGCGTACACACCTTTTTCCGAATTTGACGCGCAATATCTCCGATGTCAGAGGTCTGTAGGTTCGCAGTGTGTACAACTGCACTCGATTATTAGCGCTGTTGCCACATCTACATAGTGTTTATGCGTTCATTAAATATAATTTAAAACTACTTAAATATGATATTTTTATGTTGTTAATTTTCGATATGTATGTTATGTGCATATTGAGTAGATGTATTTGCTATATAGATAATCTTTATCGCAACTAATTTCAATAGAATTTAATTTTTTCAAGTTGGTAGCGGATTTTAGTCCCATAGGAAAAGCATAGGACCACCCCCTGCGATCCTAACTTCCCTCGGACCCCGAAATACCTCCTTAAAAGGGTTCTCCGTCAAAAAGCGTAGCCCTATCAGATTCTACATGTCATAAAACCCCTGTGTCCCAAATTTAGTGATTCTTGTACAACAGGGTCCTGATATATAAAACAGACTATACTTAGGGGCGGATTTCCCCCAAAAAAGAGGGCCACTTGGCAAAAATAAAAAATACGGGTCCCCTAAATTTGTCTTAAGAATCTGTGACCAAATTTGGTTGCATTAATTTCGGGACACCCCATATTTTCTCAAAAGACAGAAAGTTACATTTTCATGATTTCGTCAGTCTTTCTCTCAAGTGACGTCATCACATGCGCGTAGGCACACCATATTCACTCACAGCACGAATGACACATCATTACGTGAAGAAATATTACGTTTACGATGAAATTTGGGCCAATGGGTATCTAATTAAACCACTGAATTTCCATTGAATCGAATACGTACGTTTACCAGTGGCGTTACTAAGAATTTTAGAAATACGACGACAAAGATCTTTTCCATTTTAGTTGAAAAGCGAATAATAACTGTATTAGGAACATTTTTTCATAGGCCCATTTTTTATTTTTAGTGGTATCCAAGAGTTAAATTGCACCCAATTAGATTACCTAACTCAATTCTGTAAAACTTGTACAAATTTGGTGATCGTGACTCAATATTGGTAAGGCAGGGAATTGTTTTAAGAAATTTTAGGTCGTCGTCAAAACAGTTCTTAGAAAACTAACGCAAAAATATTGGTTTGTCTCGCTACGTCACCATTATTACCGAAATGATTTGAAATTGTGAGTTTCTTTTGAAAAAAAAAATTCGGTTACATGAAGCGTGTGAGTTAACCAGTGTTCTTAAGAATGTAAAGATAAAAGCATGCATATGAGATATCAAAAAAACTTACCTCTCCTGAACGGTACATTTGGCTTCAACAGCGATTTCTGAAAAAAAAAACCAGTATTGTATATAGCTAAACTCTGACGAATTTCTTATCAATACCTCCAAATTCGATTGAAAATGATCGTCACAGTATAAACCGTACATATTCTAAAACTTCGTTTTATTTCAGCAATTTAAACCAGGTTGCAAATTTGAGGTGAATAGTGTAATAGTTCGATTCAAAATATGTATTAGAATACGAATATGACAAGTAACTAGAATCACAATGACGAGTCGCAAATTGATTTGCCGCGAAAGAAATGGCAGATTATTATTACATCGTTAACGACATACTACTTTAACGAATTTTGACAAGCATGGTAAAAATACGCGACAAAATGGTAGATATAACGTACCATATTGCAAATATCTAATTTCAATATTCAAATTCACCTAATTGTCTGGGACTTAAGGTATATTTACCAGATAGTATTAAGGGCCCCCCATATTCTTTAAATAGTGTTTTCCGCAAAGACAAATAATTTCAAACATTTAATAACTGAATAATCTAAAGCTTATCAAATAATAGGAATGTTATGTCATGCCACCTGAGTATTTTCAAAGACGCCGCAGTAAAACGAATAAACAGGTGCAAAAAACGATCAAACCATCAAGGTTTTAGGTACTGAAATCTACGAAAATACTAACTTTTTTATATATAATTCCACATGTAAATATTCTTATAACATTTACTTGTTTAGTCCTACATATAAAATTGTTTAGTTTTATTTAGAAGCATGTGAAAATAATTCTTAAAATGTGGGGTTAGAATAACAGCAAACGCATGTTTTACAAACGCTTTTTTAGTTATTATTTTATTTAAGTAAATTTAAATGGTAACAATGAATAAACAAAACATCAAGGATTTTATTTTTGTGCTTACTTTTGTTCTACACGTTTTACTTTTAAAGATTTCAGTACCTAAAAACGCCAGAAATTTCACTATTTCTCGGCCAGGAATATGGCCACCATGAAATATTCACGCAATGAGTAATGTTAAACACGACTTACAGTTCGATATATCCAGAAGAACCCTGTGAACTTTCATCTCGATCTAACGAACTTTCTCTTTGTTTCAGTAAACTTTTGAAAAAAATTGAAGGGTCACGATTTTTGAGCTTCAACACTTCATAACCATGATTAAAATGGAAAAAAACATTTTTTGAGGTTCTCACATTTTTACCGCAAATATTGATGAAAAAACATTTTTATTTTCGAAAAATTTTCAAAATTTTTTTTCAGAAGAAAATGGGTAGTTTTGAAAAAACCGTTTTTTAAGTGATTACAGACTGCACAAATATTGTAATTAATTTTTGTGCAGTCTGTAATCTCAAAAAGTCTCAAAAAACGGTATGAATCGGGATCGAAATCTGGTTTGGTTCATCAACTTTAATTTAGTTTAATTAAAAGCTGATGAACAGAAGCGTAGTACAAAAAAGCCGAATCGTGCTGGAAACAATTGCATTTTGTTTTCTTCAATGTCCGGAAGGTTTTCCAAAAAAAAATAATAAATCGAAAATATTTCGAAAATATATTTTTTTAATCAATTTGCGGTAAAAATGCGAGAAAACCTTAAAAAACATATTTTTTCCATTTTAATCATGACTATGAACTGTTTAAGCTCAAAAAACGCGACCCTTTAATTTTTTTCAAAAGTTTAACTGTTTGAAACAAAGAGACGGTTCGTTAGATCGAGATGAAACTTCACAGGGTTCTTCTGGATATATCGAACTGTAAAGGTCATGCTTAACATTAGTCATTTCGTGAAGATTTCTAATTTAGCCGTCAATTTTCTAAAATACCATAAATTATCCTTTTTTCCTGTTTTTTAAATTCGTGTAAAAGATGAAAAAAAATCCGAAAAGTTGCGGCAACATGTTATAGGACATTTATTACAGTTTTCGAAACTGTTCTTCAATTTTCTGTACGACCATTTATTTGACGCCGAGATATCGATGATTGAAGACAAAAGGATCCCTTTCCATTAAAAGTCCGATATTTCGATGAATAATGGTCGTATGGAAATTTAAAAAAAAAGGAAATTAAAGCTGAATAGACAAGCTATATGGCCCATGCAATGGCTTAGTTGAAAAAAATTTCCGTGAACTGAAAAAAATAAATAAAAAAATTTTCAAAATTTCTTTGTCGCGCTATTTCTTAGAATTGCATGATAACCGTAACTCCTAAAAATGTTTGACCGAAAAATCTAAAACCTAGAATCTTAGAGCTTCAAAATGCTTATTTTTAATTCTCGATACGACCATTTTTCACTTAAATACAGTCTGTCAAAAATCACGGAAAAGGAAATTCTTTTGACCCTTTAATAGTTTGGTTTAGTGTAATTGAAATTGTACAGATCGAATCTGACCCTTGTATACTATTTACATAGATAATATAAAAATGAACAACTTCAAATTAACTTATTTTTACAAGGATTTAGAAGTACTTAAGAACAGCCAACACGTGTTTCGTAGAATAGATAGACTGATGTGCTTAAAACTTACAAAAAAACGTGGCTAATTAACATTAGCCGTGTTATTCCTAATTCGCAGGCTCGAGAAGAATAGCCTCATACGAAGGTGAGATCTTGATATATCATCGATATCATCATTAGCGTATTTTCTCTTCTTTTGTTTAATCTTGGCATTTTGTAGTTCTACCAAGTATTTGTATTGTTTTTATTGGTGTTGTGCTGTGTCAGTCTGTTTATCGAGTGTTTTTTCCTTCAAGTGGTTTATTATAGACGTACTCTTAACCACAACCAAATTTTTCTTGAATGATATCCTGTTGCGAGGCTACTTCGCTTACATGAAATTATCTTTGATGCGCATGCTCACTAACATCCATATAATTTTAATTTATTAATTACTATAAAAGTCAATATTGTTCTATAAATTTAAAAATAACGAGCGTTCAAATAAAAACGTGGTCGAAGTTGGCTCTGACACATTGGACGTAGGGAGTAGCTTATAGCGACCAACTTAACCTCATTTCTCAACGAGCTGTATAGCAGCTGTCAGTTTCAATAACGTTAATGACTATATAACTTTATTTTAAAGAATAATCGTGATAACAATAACAAACAATTAAAGGAGCTGCGGAAAGTGTCCCCCTCCTTGTTATAACAATAAATTAAAGCAGCTGCTGAAAGTGTCCCCCTCCTTGTTCCAAGCACTTTTCACACCTGTTCCTCAAAGAATTAAAGACATTTTCTAAGATGCTCGGGGTATTGTTAATTTCACGAATCTTGTCTATAAGTCGAGCCTGCAGATGGTTTAAATCAGGAATAGGCAGTTCAAAAATAGTGTTTTTAAGGTAAGGCCACAAAAAGAAATCACACGGCGTAATATCACATGACCTCGGTGGAAATTCATGTTCAGCATTGAGACTTATTAGTCGATTTTGGAAAACTTCCCTCAACATATTCATCGTCTCGCCTGCCGTATGTGCCCTTGCGCCATCTTGTTGAAAGTAAAAGTTTGTAATTTCGTTTTCTTCCAGCTGGTTAACAAAAGGAGCGATAATTTCTTCTCTATACCTTTGCGCAGTAAGAGTACCATTAAAAAAAATAGGTCCATAAATCCTCCTTCGATTGAGAGCACACCAAACTCCAATTTTTTGAGCGTGTAGAGGGCCCTCGACAAAAAAGTTATCTGGTTTTTCAGAAGACCACATTCTCATATTCTGTGAGTTTACGTAACCACTTAAATGAAACCAGGCTTCATCAGAAAAAAAGGTGATATTATGAAGTTCACCGTAGTTGTTTAAAAACCATTCACAAAATACAGCCCGTCGCGGAAAATCAACTTCATGAAGTTCTTGCTGACAAGTTAAACGATAGGAGAACAAACGCAAATCTTTTTTTAACACTGTGTGGCAGGTACCGACTGATACTCCCACCATTTGTGATAAAACACGTACCTACAGAAGTTCTTGGCGCATTTTCCATTATTTGTTGGACATTTTCTTTTAATTCTTCAGTCCGCTTTTTAGGTCGACCGCTTCCTTTTCTTGTTACACTGCCCGTTTCACGAAAAACATTAACATAACGCTGAACTGCACTGAAAAATTTTGTACTCAACAACGCCAGGAAATTGATTTTAAAATTCTATGAAACATTCCTCAATAGAATACTTCCATATTCCATCAATCTTCCGTCCATTTCTAAAGCAGGACTCTATGATAAACACTTTTTGTCCTTGAGAAAACACCATTTTAAACTCTTTTTAAAACGAAAATATACAAATTGATAGCGGCGATATAGCGCTTTGACAGATGACGTTTAAGTTCATTTACTATACGCTACGCCCTACAGCCAAATTTTCAGAACCAACTTGACCACGTTTTTATTTGAACGCTCGTTATAAATTCTATAATTCTTTTAGTTTGTCACTTGGGGTTTGAAACTTCATAAATATTTCTAATATTGCCAGATTGCGATATTTAAGGTTGCCATGACCTTAAATATCATTTTTTTGGCACCTATGTTCAATGTATGTACATAAGATCAAAAATCGATTTAGTAAAAATATTGGGAAATTCTTCATGACAATGTGTACTATGGGGTTACCTATTGTATGTGACGTCACTACTAAAAAGGTCTATTTAAGTGCTGACGGATAAAACTTTTACAACGTCTCGACTGTGTCCCGTGCGCGCCGGGTCCGGCCCTGGAATGAAGATTTCCGCACGACCTCTACTAACTAATAATAATAAGAGGCAAGTGTGTGTATGAGGCATCTCCCGAATGAGTTGCTGGGACCCCTGCCGTTAATAAGTTCATAACTATCTATCGGATCGCCCACCATCTGTATTTTTAACCGGGAGATATCCACCAACACTTATTCACGTGTTTTGGCAATTATTTACAGTTGTGCACCGACGGCTATAGCGGAACGAATGGAATAACTCCGGCAATAATCAGACGTGTGTACGCGAAAAGTTTCAAAAGAAGCGCCCGTAAACGCGAAGGAAAAAAGTACTAGAGGTACATACACTGCTTATACCGAAAGCCTCGAGTATACTGTTCGCTTATACAGGGTGATCGAGAATGATTGACCGTGCCGTCTCATACTGATTTTTGATGTGCGGCATACCAGTTTTTGATACCAATACTAGAATCATGAGCGCAGGTTGAGGAATTTTAATGGTAAACAAATAATTACGTTCAAACGTCAAATAAATTAGGTTACTGTCAAAATGGAAATTCATAATAAAAATATCAATTATTTAACAAAAATCAAAGTTATTTCACAAATTAAGCAATACTGATGGACCAATAAATGTTATTATTGTTATTATTATTAAAGAGGATGACAGAATCAAATGTAGGTTTAGCCTAACTTTTCCAAAATTCTTATTTCATTTACAATTAGAAAAACTTTTAAATCAAAGTTTGATGTAGCTAATTTTGAATAACGACTGTAAGTGCTTCAGCGATTTTATTTTTAAAACGTTATGAGTTAATTTTAAAACAGAAGCACTATTGTGGCTACATTCTTGGCATCTAAGACGATTCAGCTATACAGCGATACGCTGCAAGCTGCTGTTTTTCATCAAAGCAAACTGCTGTATGCTTATAAGACGACTATTTTGCAGCTACTGCTTTCACACTTCTGAATATCCAGCGCAAGCGATCCAGCCCAAAAATTTATGCTGAACATTTTAGTTAGCTGTCGAAATTCAGGAAAAGTGTCTTAAAAAAATTTGCTTCAAGCAAATGCAAGCAGTTGGAAGTGCTTGATTATGTTAGATGGTAGGATTGTCTGTATGACCGAGAGCAATAAACAACAGTTACATGCAATATATAATAACAGAGTAATTGGAATTTTTTCACATTTTATTGAATATTTTACCTTAAAATTACATAAAATCCATAAAAATATCTATATTTTTACAATAAATGTTCAATATGATGTCCATTGTTGTTCAAGCAGGTATTAATTCTTCTTTTCATATTATTAAATACATTCTGTAAAACATTTTGTGTAATACTCCTAATTTCGTTTGTAATTGCCTCTTGAAGTTCTTCAATCGTGTGTAACCGTTGAGCAAATACTGAATTTTTTAAAAAACCAAATAAATAATAGTCTAGGGGTGTAAGGTCAGGAGAACGTGGTGGCCATCTATCTCGACTAATTATTCGATCATCATAATACTCTCTAATCAACTCTAAAGTTTCGTTAGAGGTGTGAGCTGTTGCGCCATCTTGCTGAAAGTATCCATGATGGATTTCATCGTCGTGAAGTTCCTCAAAAAATGGTAACAATATTTGCTGCCGATATACCTGCCCAGTTACATTTTCACGGAAAAAATATGGTCCGATTATTCTTCTACGTGACATAGCTACCCAAACACCAAGTTTAATAGGGTGCAGAGTTGTTTCACGCAAAATATTAGGGTTTTCTGTGTTCCAAGAGCGATAATTTTGGGAGTTTACGTACCCACTTAAATGAAACCACGCTTCATCAGAAAAAAATGTTAGATCTAGAATATCGTCGTCATTCAGATTTTCGTTAAACCAATTACAGTATTGCACACGTTTTCCAAAATCTAACGGAAGTAGTTCCTGCACAACACTAACTTTATAAGGATGAAAATGCAACTTCTTTACTGCTTTATGGCATGATCCATATGATATTCCTATAAACAATTTAGGAATAATGATACAAATTTTAGAATAAATATTTGTTATTAAGTACCTGTTTGAGCAGATAACCGACGTAGTGATTTGGTTGGACTAGCTCGTAAGCGGTTTTCAACATCTTCCAAGACTTCCTCTGTAAGAATAGACTTTCTGCCTGGAGATTTTCCTCTACAAACACTTCCAGTGTTATGGAAGCGTTCCACTAATCTCTTCACGTGTCTCGAAAAAATTTCATAATCAATTTCATCATTTGGAAATTGTTCTTGAAATTGTAAATGACACGAATTCATCGAATATTTCCAACCATTACCATTGTTTTGTCCACTACGAAAATAGGCCTCCAGAAGAAATTTATCATGTTCTAATGAAAATGCCATGTTAACCTAAATTAAAAAACCGATTAGGTTAGAGAACAACATACGCAATAAATTAATTACTCACGTATAATATCCACCTACTCTAACTGTAGTATTGAAAAATACTGTTTTATAATGTCGCAAAATATATCAGGTAACAACAAAATCTACAAAATAATATTCAAGCCAAAAAATCCGTGCGCCAATGAACAGAACGTCAAATTGTGAAATCGCCACAGAACACCATGAAATTGCACGGAAAAAAAAGTAATTTTAGCAAACGGAAATCAGTTTTGATAGCAATTGAGACAGGGTACGTTCAGAATCCGGTCAATCATTCTCGATCTCTCTGTATAACCACTGACTGAAAGGTCCAAAAATAGCTTTGTTTTTCGAAAAAACGAAACAACCAACACCAACTAACAAAAACCTAAGCAATCCAACAGGCTATTCCCGATAAATCAAACCTACTGTCTTCCCTTGCAGGGTCTTCACGAAAGCTATGCCGGCGGGGAAAGAGAGCGACAGCGGAAACTCGTCCAACGCCGCCCAGAGGACCACCTTCAGGCCACCCTGGGTCAAGGAGGGCCCCAACCCCCTGCCTACCCCCGCGGCGCCCTGGACTCTCAACAAGACCAACAGGAAGGACAGCAACACGGACTCGGCGGCGGAGTACAATCCTTTAGGTGAGGGGGCGCCTTCGGGAAGGACCGAGCGGACTCGGATCGGGAGATCCGACTGGCCAAAGAAACAGTTTCGTATCCAATAAATGTTCATGCGTTTATTAATTCGATTGTCTTACTTGTACAGGGTGTGTCTTTACTGAAATTGACGCAAAACGTTAAAAAAAAACAAGAGACTTTACCAGAGGTCCGAAATATCTGGAAAAGTTAGGCGTCGGGGAAGAAAAATTCTCAGAAAAATTCTCAGAAAAATTTGGAAAAAACCGGAATATTTAAAATCGATATAAAATATGGGTGTCTCAGAAATAAATGCCGGAAAATTAGCGAAAATAAAAGAGAAACTCGAAAAAAATCCTATCCGCGATATTATTGTAAAATTGTCTAAATTAACATAATACAAGACATCTCTCATCTCGTGAGTCAAAAACTTTTATTAGCTAACTTTTCTATTTAAACAAATAAGTGAGGAAAACAGTTTTTTCACTTTGCAGGGAAAACCATCAATTTTAGTGAAAAGTGACTCCCAGACAACTTGTAGGGAATAAAATTATCTACAAAATGAGACTGGTTAAATTAAAATCGGTTAATAACCAAAAAAGTTATTGCAAAAAAACAAGAAAAGTGCCCGTTTCTTAATTTGTTTATCCACGACTATTGTATAATGTACCCATTATACGTCTGTTTGCTCGACCTTAATAATACCCATTAATCACGGCAGTGATTAATGAGTCATTAATCACTACTGTCAGATGCTTCCTTAATTTAGCTATAATATTATATTGTTCTGCTACAAACAATCCGTTTTTAAAATTTTATCGTGTAAACCACTAAATATTTTCAATTCAGTGCTGTACATATAAAAAAATATTAAAAAAGTGAATTTTCCTAGACCGAATTCGAACCCGGGACCCGCGGTTGGAAGGGAAAGAGCATCTACACTGAGCCATCAGCGACTTCATTTGTGCGAGTCGTATATCTGTTTCTTAACATACCATGTTTTTCGAAACATTTCAAAAAAAACTTCAACAAAAATATTTAGTAGTCGTGGATAAAGTATAGTATTCTACTCCCGTATAATGGG